CATCTAGTGATAAGATATTGTGACAATGTAAGTAATGGTTGCCTTTTTTCTATTTAGGATTAATTTATGTATTCCAGGATTTTTTATTACAGTTTGTGACTGATTCTTAGTTTGGGGGGGGGTTATAAAGTAATTTAGTGGATTATTGTAATTTAGACATATTTCGGGAGGTTATTAGTAATTTATATTTTTCTTTTTTATTATTTTTCTTCTAATTTGGAGCGTTGTAGATATTTCTCACATTATGTTAGGGGTTTTAAAAGATGGTTAGTTTGAGGGGTAAATATGTAATTTAATGAACAAGAGAGGAGATTTTGTAATCTGCACTTGTAATTTAATCAAAATGTTTGGAGTCAACTTACCGAGTAATTGGGCTTCAAAGCATGCGCAGCTGCAATGTATATAGCAGATTGGCTGTATAACTCATCAGGAGAGACATCCTTTGGATTCACATGTCCTCCAGTTCTTGATATGTCCTCTGCTAATCCATACTGTAAGATTTTACGCAAATAAGATCAACGCGTACGACATTTTGTAGTCTATTCCCATTTTTATTTTGTTCTTACCCGTCAAAGTTTATATTCTTATTGAAATAATAATAATACATAATACCAAATTAGTGAAGGACGGCAAATGTTAAACTAACCAGAACAGTTCCAAGATTGTAGATCGCCCTATGGAAATCAAACTGTAACTGGATCGCTGAACGGAACTGTAAACAAACAAGAAAAGTATTGGGTTATCACAAAAAAGGAGAATTACCCCTAGAAATCTTCAACTACATATTCAAGCACTTTACTGAAACCATTTGCCGATTCCTAATGGTGTTAATGTAGGAAGAGTTACATACCTTGCCTATAGCAGTTTTCACTATCGTCTGTTTCTCACGAGCCGGAACAATGGCACTGAGTTCCTGAAAACATGAATTTTGAGCACAAATTAAAGAATAAGTCTTTTGCCATGTGCATAAACTGTGCCATGGAGAACTCCAGTTCATCATCTTATAACAGCATTAATGAAAAGGGCAAAATAAATAGATTGGTTCAGATAAAATATTATTGGACTTTACCTGCAGAGCAAGTCCCCAATTGTTAAGTGCCTGCAAATTCATCTCAAGGTAAGTGGATAATTGGGGAAGCAATAACAACAACAAATTGAGAATATCACAGATGCATTCTCGAAAAAGATGGGAATGTGGAATAGTAAAAAGATATTTAGAAGAAAATAGTTCCAAAAAAATAAAAAAGATCCTTCCATAGACATTATGAATACAAGGGACTATTTATTTGTCTAGATAAATTCGCTTAAAATAGTACCTGGGGACTGTTCCAATTCAGTTGGACAGCCTTTTCGTAATTCTTCGTAGCCTGAATATTAAGAAACAGTAGGAAACTGTATTATTATAAAATAATTATTATCAGATTACACCATCTGGTGTTCTTAAGTTTTAACCATGCCAAAAAGAATGAAATAAGCAATCGAGCAATGGATTACAACAAAGACAAGGATTCAATTCGTCTGTCATTAAAATATCAAGCACCATAGAAAGAACACAAGAAAAAGTTCAACCTGTTTCCAGAGCTCCTCTGCTTCCTTTGTACGGCCACGCATTTTTGCCCGGTCAGAGATTGCTATAGCCCAATTATAATAAGCCTGATATATGAGAAAAGAATCTGACAGATCTTCATTCAAAGAAATAGCACAAATATCTAATCAAAGATAATTATAGGTTGAATTAAACAGTAAAAATGTCCACTAATTTCTACAGATATCCAATCCAACACCAGAATACGAAGTCAGGTGAATATCATGAACAAACTGTAAATTAACCGTCATGTAACTAAATAATCTTCAAGATTGCACACTATGTAGCTTTTTAATAACATGGACATATTAAAAGAGTATGTGGCGTAAGCTTTCGAAATACGTCATAATACACTCACAGGCACACATGCACACACAGTAGGCCATATTCAATATGAGATAAGGCCGTCTTTTGTTCTAGAACACCAAAATGCATATGCAATATATTCTTTTTTATTGACATTCAACAGCCACATATCAGAATCACGTGGTAACAAGAAAAATAAGACTATTAACACAGTGATGACACATACATCATTAAGCGTGGGGCAAAGACGGGTAGCCTCCTCATACTTTCTGCATGCTTCTTCAAGCAAAGCATCCTTCGAAGGAGAACTAGATTCTGGATTCACATTATCAGCACTTTCCTGCATGCACAATGCAAATTATATGAAACCGTACAACCTCCATAAGGATGTAATATTAGGTTACATAGCTTAATCTAATATTTCTTGCAGCAAAATGAAAACTAAAAATGTGACAAAGAAACTAAAACACATTCTTGCAACAGTTTAAAATAAGTTGTGCCATTCAAACCTGAAGAACCAGCGCCCAATTGTACAATGCATCATAATCATCTGGATTTCTTTCTAGAGCAGTTGCATATCTACAAATCAATATGAAAGATGCCAATTAACAACTTATACAACCCAGGTGTAAGTGAGTTATTATAATCGAAAAGTGCCTGACAGCATTTATCCGAGTCATGATAAGGTTATCCTATTAAATTTGTGATCCACATAAAACCATTAATAACACAACTCCAAGACTCTATCCACATGTTTCATGGGCATATGACCATAAGACACTTAAATAGCACATTCCACAGGAATATCAAGTAGCATATCAGAAAATAAAGGGGAGGAAAGGACCAAGGAGACGTACATACAGTGTACGGCCATCTCTAAAAATGTTCACAGCTTTGTAAGCATTGCAATTCAAATACTATAAGATCTCAATTTTCATATAAACATATATAATGTATCCCAAACTAAGGAACCTCTTAGTTATGATGAAAAAGGATTTTGTTCTATCTTCCATCAGATTTTCTCTCAGAAAATTATGAATCAGAGTTTGACGAAATTAATAGAAAACGCATATCTTTGTTCGAAACAATATTCCATTTCAGTTGGAATATGCACACAGATGTTTGTGGAATGATAAGTGATCACTCTAGCTTATTTAAAAAAAAAACGAATGAGAATATCTGGCAGTTTCATTATACATTGCACTAAAGAAAAGATGACTACCTCTTGGCAGCGAATGTAAGAATCCTTTGACGGGATCTACCTTCCTCGTCAAGACCCGTGACACTATTAATCAACTCCATAGCAGCATTATTCTGCTCAATTTGCTGTTCTGAGTTCGCTAGGCTAGAAAAATAAGTAAATCCGCACATAAAAGTATCAGTATCATTTTATCACAATAAAGCAAAACAAAATTGTACCTAGCCAGTTCAAAAATCATATAGTGAAGGCAGCCCTCATGAAACAATTAACAAAAGGATTAGTGATCCACAAAATTCAATATGCATTAAAACCTAAAGGCTGTATTTGTATTATTGAGTCCCAAATCACACAACGTAATCACCATAGCCTTTCAAGTTATCAGTACCACAGTTGATCATACAGTTAAATAAACAACACCAAATTCACTTCACAAAGAAACTGCTGATCTAACAATATCAAATTTCAGTTCATCATTTCCAATAGTTATATCCTATTTTTCAGCGTTTGACTTCTCACTAACAATTCATTCTTGAATCCTATTATACTAGAAAACATAATCTCAAATTGATCTGCTACCACTGTTGTCTGATTATACCACAGAGGCCAACATGCTTCATAGCATTTGGTTTTTCTCGATGGTCAAAGTAACAGCATTTTTTAAGAGTTATAACCTTTCATGTTCTTTCAGCTTCCAAAACTTTTTTCGATTTTTCAATCACTTAAACAGCCAGAGGTTTCGGTTCATCAATTCCTAAAAATTCAGCTCGGCAAGATCTAATCAACATCAAATGCAGTGGTATTTCATCGCATTCCCACTAATCCAGCATCAAACTAAAAACTTTTAAGCACATGAAGCAACACAAAGATTCCTAAATCCAACTATCTCATAAACTTCGATCTCTACATAATCCTTCTTCAAAACTGCCACATTATCAAATCCAGAACAAATAATCCTCTTCCAAAAGTTCTGACACAAAAATTTACTGACCTACGAGGAGTATCGACCTCTCTCCCATCGTTGTCATTAGCATCTCCATTCTTCAATTCATTCAGCAATTCTCTCATAGTAAACGTCCGATTCCCTTCCGCCGCCGCCAGCTTCGAATCGCTCTCGGCCTCCTGGTTCGACTGCACCGCCGCCGCGCCACTTGATTCATCCGGAATTTCTGCTTCCGGCACAGAATTCGCCGCCTCATCAGCATCAACAGATTGCACTTCACCAGATATCTCCGCATCAGGCGGCTGTTGTACTTCGGCGTCGCTGGGATCAGGTAGCTGGGGATCTGGATCGGCAGCGGGAGGTCCGGCAGCAACTGCAACTGCAGCTGCAGCTTCGGGTTCGGATTCAGGTTCGGGGGGTCCGTTCTGCAATTCGGAGTGCTCGGAATTGGAAGACATAGTGGTAACAAAAACTCAGGATTTCGGATTTGGAAGGAGAGAGAGATCTGCAAATGCAACGACTAATTCTCTCTACTTTTAATTTGTGAAAATTCTCTTATGATATTATTATATTTGTTTGGATCGTTTATTGAGGAGCCATAATCACAGGCCCAGCCCTTGGTCAAGTGTACTTCTCCGTAATAGCCCAAGTCTACAAGATATATGGGGGAATTAAATGTTACGCTCATTATTTATACCGAGTGAATTTGAACCGTAGATCTACATATAATCACACGACTTTCATATTTAATAAGATAAATATAAAATAAAATATTGTTAATTAGGGATGGTAATCGGTGGATCGAAAATGGAATTTTTGGAATTTTCCAATTTTGTTTGGAATTAAAAAATGGGTTTCAAATTTCTGTTCCGAAAAAATCGGAATGCAAAAATTCATTCCGACTCGGTATCAGTAGAATTTCAAAATTTCGGAAACTACATTAGTTTATAATCTCTTATATTATATTCCAAATTCGGATTTGATGAAAATTTTCACAATATTTCTCTATCTTTTTTAAAAATTTGCAGAAAAATGCAAAAAAATTCAAAAGAGCGTTCGACATAACGCAACAAATAAAACCACATTTAGGAACAATAAATTGAAACATAGATTTTATGATAAGGTAAAATACAATAGGGAGTTTCTGATACCAATAATATTTTGTAAGGTTTTAATTTACTTGACTCTTTGATATTTATATTTTTCATATAAAATATAATATAAGTCATATTATGAAATTAAAAAAATATATGATAAAATTAAATTATATACTTCAAAAAACAATCGAAATTTTCGGAACTAAAATCGGATCGGAAATCGGAACTTCTCGTTATTATATACACAATTTCGAATCCATTCCAAATAAATTCTTAAAATCAGAAATCGAAATGAAAAATACGGTTCCAAATTTGATTATTTTTATGTCGGAATTTGGAATGAAAATTTCATTCCGATTTCCACTTCTATTTTTTAATAAACTGTCTGATATTGTAGGCCTTTAGCCACTGTTGAGGTCTACATAAAAAAATTCCCAAGGAAGAAATGCCATTTTTACTGTATAAATGTCTGGCTGTAAAATTAATAGTACATGTCAAGAAATACATTCAAAAGAAACCTTGCCTTAAAAACAACTTTGTTAATATATAAGCAGGGTTTTGCCACTTCACTAGGGGGGTGTGTCCTCAGAGCGGCCAATACAAAGTGTAAATCCCACAAATTAACTTAAAACACACAAGTTTGCCTGTCATGTTTTTTTTTTTTTTGTTCTTTAAATTAGAAAGTAACAACAAAACAAGCAAAAAAAAAAAAAAAAAACATTCTAGAAGAATTAAATTTAAAAAAAAAAAAAGGGATTTTCCGAAAATCAAATCTTGTCGTGTAGGGTGACCACCAAATCATGGGCATCGTCTAGAAGCTTCCACACATCCAAACAACCAGCCATACTATTACACTCCCTCATAATCTCATCCATGCTGCTGTAATTCTCTATAATCATCTTCCTCCTCTGCAGCACACAAGCAGCTATTGCGTAAAGCAACAAATCGTCCGTCGGTGGGGCCCTCAGCCTCATCCGTCGCCACGCGGATCTCACAATCCCCGCCCGTATTGCTGCCTGGTCAGCCCACATTACCTCCCACAGGCAAAGCGTCTGCTCGAAAGTCAACTCCCTCCTGAACAGAACCACCACCATCCTGTACACAAAGAAGCAATCCTCCGCCTGCAGCTTCTCCAAGTGCTTGTACAGATGCGAGTCTTTACCTTTTATAATCTTCGACACTATATTCAGCTGCCTCCTTATTCCCACCTCATCGAGACGGAAGTTATGCCTCGCCTTTCGCATAAACCCCACAAAGCACCAAAAGGCTACGTGGTCTTCCTCGATAACCGAAATGATTGGAGATAGCAAATCGCTCATGCCCTGGCAATAGCCAATTTCGGTATCGTACAAAGCATAAGCTTCTAGAATAGCTACTAGGCGGGCAGCATGGTAAATTCTACAAGGCTCGAGATGGTCGAAATCTTTTAGTCCAACGCTCTCTGCTAATTGTTGTGCTTTGGCTTCGGATACTGCAGCTTGAGATGGGGAGTAGACAATCCACTCGGAGTTCGCGCGCACAGCGTCTAGACGAATAATACGCTGCCACGTGGCGAAGTTTTCAGACTTGCATGATGTGGTCCCCGTTTCGGGCTTCTTGAGAGTGGAGTCGGAGCGGTCATAGGGGTTGTTGTTGTTGTCTTCTGTTTCGGTTGAGCCGAGGAGGGGTTTTGTGTCCTCGGAGGAATCTTCTGAGGAATCGGAATCTTCGGAGGAACCTGTTTCGGCTTCGTCGGAAATATCTTCATTGGTGATTACGCCGCCGTCGTGCTCTTCCTCCTCCTCCACTAGCTCCGCTGAAACGGAAGGTCTGCTGGCGGCACTGGAAGCTTCGTCCAAGGTTGGAGAATCCAAGACTTGACTGATATTGTCTCCACCATCCTCGTTGCTGTTGTTTTCGGATGACTCCTTTAACTTGAAACTCCTTTCACCGCGTTTTGAGATTTGACAGCACTGTTTCCGTAGCTCTACATATTTTTTTCTGTGACAAAGCCAACGAATCGGAGTATGAACAAGTTGGAAAAAGACAGATTATGGAATTGAACCAGATAGGGTGATTGGTAGAGAAACTAAATACGAAATGAATTTGTGGGAGTGAAAAATGTTCATTGCAGAGAACAAAGAAAACGGGGCAAAAATTAATTTATAAGCACATATATTGAGCTACAAAAAGCTTGTTCCAAGTGAAAAATAAGGTATCTATATGCCACATTGACAGAAAATATACATGTATCTTCAACTTGTATTAAAAAGTTACCAGAGCAGTTTAACTATTTACAGGAACTTTCAAAAGAAATGATTCTTGAAAATGATCGACTTAATGTAGATGTATAAAGATAACGAAAGATGCTATAGTAAAATATATGGTGAGAAGTATGTCTACCTAATAATTGGTTCAAGCCGTTGATACCAGGGTTTAAAATGAATTCGACTCTCAAAACTTATGTACTTTGATTGTCGGTTAGATTTGAGAAGAAAAATATACCTCTTCTGAGCTTTAACAGTATCTCTCTCTTTTTTTGAACTTTTCACATCATACCTGCAAAGATAAGAACATCCAGTCAAGAGATGCAGGCATGCACGAAATCCAAGATAAATGAAGACATAAAATAAGCTCCATCATGATATACAACAATGAGAAAGTTCCCACCTTACGGTAAAATCATTTAGGGATTTGAGTTCTAAAGATGTATGTCATTCAAGCAAAAGAGAAAAAAGTTTATTCATCCCAAAATCCCACACTCTCACCGCACTCTCCCGGAATCGTCAAACATGGAAAAATATGTCATCCCGACTATTCGAAATTTTGTTGTTTAAGCTACGTAGTGTGCAACATTAACATGCTGATTATGTGGGTGAAAAAGATGCACAAGTATAAATCATGTTCCAGAGATCAACACATTGTAGAAAATCTAAACAGTAAAATTCTCTAAACCATTGGAGTCGTAGATTCTTAAAACTAAAAGATGAAATAGTCTTGGCTATCATCAAGGTAATCCAGTAATTCTAAATGAGTTGGCAAGTATACGAAGTACCCCTTTCCGCAGAAGAGATCTAAACATTATAACGGACTTGAAAACAAGAAACAGAGGGCACTAAATATGAAAGACATATCACAGCCTCGGAGTATATCAATTACATAATTATAGGCCGAACATTAACCTTTTAATAACCACTAACAAGACAATTGAAATCATCGTCTACTTTAAGACGAAATTGATCACTACCAACTGTCTGGTATGATAACAGAAAGAAGCAAAAAGAAACACATCAATCACAACTGTCTCCCTGAACTATATATGAAGAGAGAGAATGCTTACATTCCGAGAAGGAATGGCCAGACCTCCGCCCTAATGCTTGGCTCAACACCCTGCATTATAACCAACCAAAGTTAGAGCACAAATTGCAAAAGTAGAAACGAAATCTGTTGAGAAAGTACACAAACATTCTACCGATTGCGTATCCTAACATACCCCAGTCCGGATTTTCTTCAAAAACTTGATTCCTCCATCAGATAGTTTCCCGTCAACGTCAAACAAACTCTTCCACTGCTTGGCCAGAAGGGCATGTTTCCTTCTCCTTCTCGACCATGGAGATTTGAGGCTTCCCCTGCAATCAACACAAAGACATATAACTTTCCACCAAAAGAACAATAATAACCATAACTGAATGAAATGCAGCTTTCACAATAACAATATGCACTCCTCTCCCTAGAACGATACTGGCAAAAACATTGAGTCAAGATAATTAACCATTCGAGCTCTAAATCAAAGGAAACAAACAAAAGGCCTCGTCTTTGCCCCATCCTACTTAGAGCATTTTCATCCACAGTGATAGAATTCAATAGTCTCCTTCCAGATATCTTTGATGAAATCCCAAAACTCACAAACTTTCTGATCAGAATATAGGGAAAAGAATCACACTACACCTCCCTCGGCTCACTCCAAACCTTCCGAAACCCTCACTTCACACCTAAACTTCATAGGGATGTTGCGAGGAATATCCTTTTTTTTTTTGGGCTTTGGTTACACTAGTAGAAATTGAAAAGAGACTTCTGGATTGAGATCTGAGGTGAAATAAGCAAAAACCCTCAGGAATTCTCTTTTTTTTTTTTTGATTTAAGCTTGAATCAAGGGGTTAGGGTTAAAAAAAATGACCAAAAACCGAAAGCTTTGAAGAAGAAAGAAATAGAGTGGAAATAGAGGAACTAACCGATCAGAGGTAACTGGAGAGGATGATGAAGAAGCAACAATAAACAAAACCGATCTCAAATGAATCCACGAAGAAGATGATGAAGGCGAGGAAGGAGACCCTGTTGAATTATTCGACCCCAAAGAAGTCTGGCTCCGCCTCAGCGCTCTCATCAACGGTTGTTTTTGTACCAACATCTATGTATATAAACTATCTGTATCTATCTGTATCTATCTATTACTGTTCTATAAAAAACCCCTATGCACAACAATCCCACTCCTCTCTCTCTATATATTCTAGGGCTACAACAATTGAATATTTAATTTGACAGAAAGTCGTGATTGATTTGGGGGTTTTTTTAATCCGGTGGTTTACCTACGGGATGAGTAGACGAGGGTGGCGGCGAGTGCGAGGCCGGCCATAGCCGTGACGGCGATGGCTATTCCGACATTAGAAGGGGAGGCAAGGAGTCCGCTACCGCCACCGCCGGAGCCGCCGCTGGCCTCCGCAAATATAACGATCTTCCTCCGACCATCACCGCCGGGAAAGATCTCGTGCATCAACGACAGGACAAGCGCCGCTGACGTCACCACGGCGAGCGCACGCGAAATTACAGTTATGCCCTCACAACTCGTCACTCCGGAGTTCCTCAGCACCATTACCAAACTGAAACACCCCTTTTTCTCCTCTCTCTCTCTCTCTCTCTCTCTTCTCTCTTCTCTCTCTCACTTTCTCTTGCTTTATGAAAAGGTGGGGGCTCTGTGGGGGAAAAAGAAAAAAAAAAAAAAAAAACCGATAATTAATATTAATGAGAAAAAAAAAATTGGAAAATTATTATCACGACATTTTTTTTAAATAAAATGAAATATATTTGATGTGTCTCCATAAGGATGAGACTGATGAGGGAAAATTACAGTTTACATCCCTTAAGTTTACATAAATTTTATATTTGGTCCCTCATGTTTAAAAAAACACATTTGGTTCCTTATATTACAATAATTTAATATTTTTGGTATTTCCGTCAATTTACCGTTAATTCATCAGTTAAGGCAGTGATGGGCACAAGTTTGATTCTGTTAGTACTAACGAAAAATTGAAGGAAACGACTAAAAGTAGGAGTGAGCAAAAAAACCGAAAAACCGAATCGAAAGACGAAAAAATCGAGCTGATATGCACCGTCCGACTTAAAACCGATTTATACAAAACGATGTCATTTTGATATACAGTATAAATATTTACTGTCTTTCCGTAGCGCGCATCTATACCCGAACCTAACCGATTTATACAAAACGATGTCATTTTGATATACAGTATAAATATTTACTGTCTTTCCGTAGCGCGCATCTATCCTTCGAACACCTCCATGTGACATGTTTTTTATTAGTTAATTTTGGATTTTTATTTGTTAATTTTCTCAAACAAATGTAATGAAAGTCCAAATTCACTATTAATCAAATATCGATTTTATGCCGAACCGATAGATGGAACCAAAACTGAAAATAAACCTAATTGATACCGAAACCGTTAACCGAAAACCGAAAATCAAAAAACCGATTAACACCGAACCGAAAAAAACCAACATGTTCGGTTCTTAAAAATATGAAAAATCGATATTATCAGTACGTGTTTGGTTTATTGCAAAAACCGAGCCATACCGACCCGTGCACACCCCTAGTTAAAAGTGTTGAATTTTTGAAATATAAGGGACTAAATATAATTTTTATGAACATTGAGGATCAAATGTGTAATAAGTACAAAGTTAAGGGGTGAAAACTGTATTTTTTCGATTGATGACGTATGAGATTCCATTGGCAGGCCTATAAAATTAAATGGGTGGCCCGGCCCGTCTATATTGGGGCTAAGGAACAATTTTTTATTGGATTAGGAATATTTTTTGTCATGGTCCAATGTTCTTGAATTAACATTTATTTATTTTAATTGCCTTTGATTCCCAGTCAACAACTAGAATACTATAGATAAAATCCCTATTAGTTTAGATTTCAATGTCATCGAATATATCGGCAATGTTTATTATGTTTTCATTTCATTTTGATTCTTTTCTCAAAACGAACTCGTGTTTGTTTAATTTTTCAAAAATAATTATCGTAATAATTTCTAAAGTTTTTCTCTCCTCAATACATAATTTAGCTGCTAGTTAAAAAAATTGACTGCAGCATCGTAAAATTTTTTGGTTAAACAACAAACATATTTTGACTGGTACAACATATTTTATTTCACCTCGAAATATAAACAAACATTAATTTCATTATCAAAATATATATTTGATCATTGTCAATTTGTTATGGGCAAGAATTGACATCATTTTATTTCAACTTTCAAATGATAAGACTAGCTCTGAATTTAATGTACACATACTTTTATACATACAAGGATTAAAAATAATGAATGAAATTTAACTCATATAGATAGAAAGAATAAATAGTGATAGTCCAAGAGCGTGAAAACAATATAATAATTATATAGTTTGTTTGGTGGTGCAGGTGTTCATTGTCTCCCCGATAGTAAATACTAGCATTTTTAGGGTCGAGTGGCGGAGCTAGTATAGAGTGACGGCATATCACAACCCTCTAACGTTTTTCAAATTTCTATTATTTTATATTTGTGTATAATAGCATTAATAGTCCCCCTAATTTTTTTTATGCATTCAGTCTCGTCAAACTTAAAATTCTGACTCCTCTAGTCCAAGTGTGGAGTCATCAACTGCATACATATGAAAGAACATAAATATCTTCTATATATGAGCTATGCTAGAATCGGCTAGGGCTAGGCCATAGATTGAAAAGTTCGATATCCCGGCCCGGCCCAGCCCTCAAGAAATATATTAAATTGGACCCTAAATTGAATGACTAAACTTGAAAAATCATGCTTAAATTGTTAACTCTCAATCCATGCCCTAAAATCTAATATATAAAAGAAGAATTCATTATGAAATTCAATTGGGAATACCTTGCCAACTCTTACCAAATGATTAGTTTTATGTTGTTCATTGTAATCCCTAATGTTTAGTGACACTGTTTGATCTTGTCTCCTTCTATTGCCCAACATAATTTTTTTTTTTTTTTTATGATGTCGTGTTTGCTTAAAAAAATATGGGACAAACCTATAATTAAATTGCTTTAATTTAATACATAGGCTAGGAAAATGATTACACTAAACAAAGAGCATCATAGTGGTTTAGGTGCTATGATTGAATTTCAAAAGTGGCGATTCACTGTGATGATGAATTTATGCACTAAACTTTGACAATGTGAAAAGTTAGTTCGTTTTTATAAATGTTTTTTTTTTTTTAAATTGTACGAGAAAGTTTTGGCATTAGTTCGACCTGGAAAAAAAATATTGGTGAAAAAAGTTCAAGACGAGAATATCTCGGAAAATAAAATGTATACTTGCATCACACATACATCTTCGATAATTAAGTATTGAATGATCTAATCCTAATGAGTTGAGCTATGTAACATGGAAACTTCAATTTTCTAACATGTCTGACACTCGATGGCACTTGCCGGCCATCTTATGGGTCAATTTGTAATTTTTGAAAAGTTAGAAACATGTTTGAATAAAAAAATTCAAATAATTTTGTTGCTTCCCTAATTATTTACATGATTTAATGATCAGTTGCAAATTAATAGTTGATAATAATATTTATTTGTATGGAAAAATATAAAATAAATAAATTATATTGAATATATTTAACAATAATATTATTATTATTATTATTATTATTATTATTATTATTATTATTATTATTATTATTATTATTATTATTATTATTATTATTATTATTATTATTATTATTATTATTATTATTATTATTATTTTAACAAATTAAATATATATATTAAAAAAACGCATCATTTCATGTAAATTGGCCATGTGTTAAGAGTCCATAAATGCAGAGAACACGGTGGGACAAAGACAAAACTTCCAATTTATGCTAAGTGACACATGCGAATGACTTTGTGGTACACCAAATTAAATGGAGTCACATGAAATGTGAGATTCCCTGGATTACCTAAAACTATACCATCATGTTTTCATATATATAGGGGTCATTAGCAATAAACCCCTCATATAGATAATAAATGGTGATATGTCCAACCCTTAAATCTTTTTTTGTGATAACCCCCTATAATTTGTATTTCCAATTCTACCCTTATGTCAATTAGCATAATTAGTCTCAATTATTCCTTTTTTCTCTCTTTCCATAACAATAATCTAATTCCTAAAAATCTACTTCCAAATTTCTAAAAATTTGCTACCAAATCAAAAAATAGTTTTTTTTTTTTTTTGTATTATTTTCGGATTTATTTTTTTATTTTTTAATAAAAAATATTTTTTTTTAAATTTTTTTAAACAAAAAATTGATATTTTTTTTTCTCGACAGATTTACAACTTTGAATATGACTATAGTTGAATATGACTATTATGTGACTACGCTGTGTATAACAGTGTAATTAACATATTGTAGAAGCATAATTATTAATATAACAGTAAAAATATGACTATTATGTGAATGTGACTGTGCTTTGTAAAACATTATAATTAACAGACAGTAGAAGCCTGAATATGACTATTATGTGACTACAGTTTGTATAACAGATTGAACAGGATTAACAGTAAGAATATGACTATTATGTGAATGTGACTGTGCTTTGTAAAACATTATAATTAACAGACAGTAGAAGCATGAATATGACTATTATGTGACTACAGTTTGTATAACATATTGAACAGGATTAACAGTAAGAATATGACTATTATGTGAATGTGACTGTGCTTTGTAAAAAATTATAATTATGAGACAGTAGAAGCATGAATATGACTATTATGTGACTACAGTTTGTATAACAGACTGAACATGACAGTGGGAATATGACTATTATGAAAAGAGACTGAACATGACAGTGGGAATATAACAGACCGAACCTTCTTTCTCTCCTTCTTGTTCTGTACAATAAATTCAACAATGATTTTAGAAGCTCTAGAATGCACAACATTTCTTCAAAATACTTAACAATTTGAAACTTTTTACGACACAAGCAACAAATTTGAATCATAAAACATTAAAACTGTTACGCGATCATCACTCTAAAAATGTGCAGTAGAAATAAAACTCAACTACAACACATGCCCAATTTCTCAACTTTTTTCATACAGAAACATCCATAGGTATAGCAAAACAAACGACCGATGTTAATCAGCTTCCCTAATGCTATAATAGAATATATTTAAAAAAAAAACAATTATTTCAATTGAGTGAAAACTTACACTGACTAAACTTGAATTTATAAAGCAAAATCGAAGAATCCAAAACAAAAGAAAGAAAAAAAAAATTGTTCCAACAATATCCCCACACATGATTTCATATTGCACAAATAACCTAAAAAATCGAAAGGACGGCAAAATACATAATCAACAAGGGGGGGGGAAATTACATCAATAGAGAAT